TTTTCATATTGGTTTTTCGCTTAAAAATTTTATTCAAGTAATTAGCCATTTCTTTGAAAAATACAATAACACTTGCCTGATCTTGTAGTATTTCAAAAAACCCTCCGACAACACTGGGGTATGCTCTCGACAAGTCTGTTCCTATTTTTACCTCGACCCAAGCGGTGACTACGTTACATCCAGACAAATGTGAATCGTTGTTAGCTCGTTCAGCTGTCACCATTACCACTGGGGGAGCGTAGAATTGATCTGTAAAGTTGATTTTCTGTAACAAAAATATATAGCTTTTTACCGTCATTTTTGTGCAGTTAATTGATGACTAAATGAAAAGAGCAAAGTATTAAAAAAAAAGTTCCGTTTTCTTATATCTTCTCAAAGACTGACTGAACGTCAACTCAATTAACTGACAAACGAGTCATAATTAAGGTCATCATCATCATAATCATCATCAACAACAACATCAACACCATGATCATTATCATCAACATTTATTTAACTACGTTTCTGCTTAAGAGGGGATGTCTCGTTTAGAATACATAAGTGAAATTCATGGTACAATTGTAAATCATCAAAAAGCGAATGAATAAATAAAGTAATTAATTAATTAATCAGTTAATTAATTAATTAATTAAGTAAGTAAGTAAGTAATAAGAGTATATTACACTTTACCTGGCAAAAGGCATAGTCAATCTGTTGAGATGGCGAGTTGTTGCAGGTAAACACAAGACTGTCAGATAAGGTGAAGTTATCGACTCGAAGGTTTGTATAAGCCATCCAGTTCTACAACAACGAAAACGACATTTAAGGTTAGTGATTCAGTTATCCATGGAATGAGACCAGAGTCCTTCTTCTCGAAAGTCCCAGTACCTTTACGGGCCCGAAATCAAATATTCAAATCGTAGTATAAAGAATAAGAGCGCGCGTCCTGGCCAGCAAACTACTCCATTTTGTTTTCATTAACTGGCAGTTTTATCGTGTTAGAAGCAAAAGTATTGAAACCTCGATCTTTAATGTAAACGGAGACAGCTTACCGGGCCCGTTAATTATCGGGACTTTCGAGAAACAAGCGCCAGTCCCTATATATAGAAATTTCACTCAAGTAGGAACCTGATTATAATTTAATAAAACGAGTACTGAGTCGATAACCGAAGTATATCATTTCATAAAACCTTCTGGTAAGATTTAATTTGAGTACCTTTACTCATGTACACATGGTAACAGAGATTTGATTGTACTGACAGTTTTTGTTTTTTGTTTTTTGTTTTTTAATTTGGTTTTTGTTTGCTTTTTTCACCAAATGTCTTGAGGGTTGTTCTAATCGAACCAATTACTTTCTTACAACTGTATGTACTTTATACACATATTTGTCCTTTTTTATGTAGTTTAGGCACTAATAAAGGAATAACTGCGAGGAATGATATTTCAAAACTAAAAATGTATGGTTAGTTCGACTATTTATTTTTGTAAGTATTCTGGTAAATTTGTATCTGTGTGATTTTGCTAAAACGGGCCCGCTAAGTTTTCGCTTGAACACGGGCATCGGCCGTATTCACGCCAGTGTGAGCCCTGGCCCAGACCTATCCGTGGGTGGCTTCCTTGTTTTGAGTGAAAACCAGGGGGGTAGGGAGAGGAGATTTTGTCACTTTAGAGTTAGAGTTTTATGTCAGAAAGTGGTGCAAAGTCAGAGAATTTTCCCTGTGGCCAGTTGGCCAGCCAAATCAATGCGCTGACTCATAATCATAACACTACTAGCAGAGCTTGGGAGAAGTGATTGACTAGTCATAAGCTTCATGGGTGGGTAGGGTGAGTAATGGCTGGAGTTGACCGTCTAGAGACTCAGTACAGGCACCTTATATGAAATCCAGACAGATATACAATACAATGTATGTTTAGCTAAGAAACGTCGATGCAATTGGATACAGGTCTTTAAAAAAGTTTCTAAACAATGCTTACAATAGCAATGCCTTTGTGAAGTCCGTCGAAAATTTTCACTTCCTTAAGACAGATTTTAAAACCGTCTTCGGTCAACTCCTCCACCCACACTGCCATGGCGTCTTGAGGTCTCTCAGGAAACTGGTGACTAGGAATCGCAAGTACGATTGGAGGAGTCGCAAAACGCTTTAAATAAGGAAAGAAAAAGGATGAATGAGTTAAAGGACCCTGAAAAAAAAAAAAAAAAAAAGGCAAAGGAAATTTACAACTCATTCATTACGGTGTGAACACCAACAATTATAATCAGGGACCGTGACTTAAGTTAAATCGAGAAATCTAGCAAACAGTGCTTCATCTCTGTACAACAACAACAGCAGCAGCTGCATTTACAACAACAAAAATCTTTCAAATTTAGTTAAGCGCGATTCATGAAATTACGCGGACTTTCACCCACATACAGAAAAAACTTCTCGTGGAAGGAGACACTCACTTTGAAGCCGTGAGGAAAGGACAAAAATATTTTACAAACAAAATACCAGCCAAGGTAAAATTTAATTACAACGTGTAAAGTTATTTAAATTACAAAACAAATTTTGCAAAAAATACAAGTTATATCTTCTATCATCCCTAAATAATTTAGTTTCAGTTCGTGTACCGTGTTCAATGATTATATTTCATAAAAGATCCTCTAAATCGATTTACGGCGGCGAGCGTAAGAACTGACATCTAATGCCAATGTTTTATTGCTTTTAGACTGGAGGTGTATATAAGAGTGTAATAATCAAATACGGATGAAAGAGTGAGAGGGTTTGAAGTTGGGGGGTGGGGGTAAGTGATAATATCAGTGGGCTAGTGTGGGTCATGGAGTGGACATCTTTATAATACTGCGCATTAAAAAAAAAAACGAGAAACAAAATACAGGAAAACAAATGCGAACAGCCGAGCATCAAAATATCTCAGTACAAAGTAAGCTGTTTCATTGTATTAATCGTCCTGAAAGCAAACTAACGATTCACCTTTTAGACTTTTATCATTTCTCGTTAAATCATGAAGTCCGTGCATGATAGCATGTACATAGTATATAGGTCATTGAACTTGAAACTTTAGCGACGTCAATTTTCTTCCTAAATTCACGATCATTGATTGAAAAGCTGGTTAAGCTCCTTAAGAAGATTCGCATTTGCGGTCGTGAGTTACATCTTTTAACTATACCTTGCATGACTCACCCGTTTCTGCTTTTTTAGATTAATCCTGTCTGGGCACCTTGTAGGTAATCATAGCAAAACGAAGCGTACCTGAGGAAAGTCGATTTTTTTTTTTACATTCTGTTCCGGTAGTCCAAGAGTCCAGGGAAGTGGTTCCCAGTTGTGCTCCTTTGGGAGCAGATTGTAGGGCAATCCAGTTTATCTCAGCAGTTGAATTTGAGCCGTTGCTGTACTCGTAGATACAAGCGCAGAATTGAGTTCTATCTGCCGCTTCAACCCAAATAGCAGCACCATTGCCACGGGCCTGGTTGTTAACTGAGTGACCAAAGGAAGCAAAGACTTTTACTTGCTTTCCACCAGAGAACGGTTCAGCAAATGTGATTGTCTCACAAGCGAACAACCCTGGACTTTTGACAGTGACGTTGGTTTTTCCAGCTTTGAAACTTATTGCTATTATAAAGAGAAGAAAAGTGTCTTAGTAAAAGTAAGCTCCCGTTGCTTCTGGGCTATTTACGGTGGCTGCAATATCTTTTAATAATTTCAAAACGTCTTGAGCGCAATGGCCTTGAACATAGTTCCGGTTTTTCCCTTTCCTTGTGCGCCCCTCCCCCGATTCCTGTGTACTTTCTTGAAATGAAACTTTCATCAATTTTACCGTAGACAATGAACATCAAATATCAGTATTTAAAAGCATATTCTTGAAACATTTCAATAAGCAAATACTTCACGGTACCTTGACTTCCTTGAGCAAGAACCGCAGTAGTGAATACCGCGTAGAGGACAAAGGAAAGGCTTTGCTCTCCCACCATCTTGGCTTAACTGAAGAAATGCTCCCTCTCATGCGAATAATATACAGATTGTCTTTACGTGAAGGCATCATTTCTGTTGCGTGGACAGATTATGGAGAAGTAAAGCACTGAATTACCTAAAATGGACATAATTTATCATAGTCCTGAAGTTAAGGTCGAGTAAAGGGGGGGAAATTACTCTTCGGAGAATTGGCCTAAGTATTGCAGTAAATCATCCTGATTTCACAAAAAAAATGACCAAAAAATGGAAGAGAGAAGAACTTACAGGAACGCCCTCAGACCCCTTCTCCTTCCAAGTTTTCCTCCCCCTCTCACTATTTTGCCCCTTAGAGAATACAGGTTTAATCCTGACGTTTAAAATAAACATCTTCCATGCACTTATACATGTACATCATTAGTTCCTGTCCACAAACAATAAGGGAATTTTTACATATACTAACCTTATTTCTTTACCTTCCCTTTTTCTTCCAAAGACAACTTATCAAACTGCACGTTAAATGTTTGACTTTAACTTTTCGCTTTAATTCAATGTTCCCGTGATGTACTATTTTGCTTTGCTCTTCAAGTTTCAAGAGTTGCAGCTTCTTTTTGTGTCTATATTGCAAAGCTCATTAGCCGTTTATTCGCTTCTCTCAAAATGTGCACAGAAAATCTGACTTGCTCCATGAAGAAAAAGTAAAATTAAGTTCCATCACTGCAGTGCCATGCCAAAGTGATACATAGTGATTGTTAATGCATTACTACTGTGAGGCACTTGTCAGTTTGTTTTTCATGACGTCTCAGTTATATCCTTAAGTGTCTTTGTGTATAAGCGTCGAAAGAGGAGATTAGCGATCAATCCTTTTTTTTTTTTTTTTCCGAATTAATAAGCTTTCCAAAGCTTTAAAACGTAAAGGGAATGTTTGCAATTTGTAATGTAATCACAACAAATAATTATGATTTAAACCAGCGAAGAAGCAACTTGGAAGAATTTAGAGGAGCAACTTACTTACGGAAGTTGTTCCCCTGAAACTGGCAATACTAGTTTCAAGTTGGATGATTAATACCATGTGCATTCGTCAAATTCTATCGCTGTCGAAAGTTATACCCATCACCCTAGCAAGGCTGTCTTAAATTCACAGTGCTGATGGCGCGATTATGAAGCACTTAAGTCGCGACACCTTCCCTTGCTTAGCGTGGCGGTTCCATCACCAAAAAGGCCACTTTAGCGCGGTTATTAGCTACTTCCCATTCCCTCCTCATTCCCTGCTCATTTCATCTACCCAGTGATTTTAACGCAGGGTTCTTTACAGTACACTCCTGGTCATTTTCTTTCTAATACTGAAAATCTAAACCTTGGTTTGAATAAAAGTTACTGCTTTGTTCATTGCTTGGAGAAAATGACCAATAGAAAGTCCTGCGTAACGACGTTTGCGTGCTTTGATTCAATCTTTCTCAAGACGCTGGGTTCAGTATTTTTCTTTTCTTTTTTCTTTTTTTTTTCTCCAACAATATTTTAATAATTCTTTTCGTTTTTCGGAAGTATACTTCCCAATATAATCCCACCGTATATTTTTGGTTTGTTCACGATTCTTCACAGTAACTTGAACTTCAGAGAGGAGAAGGTCATTCATAATGACATGAAACCTACCCGCACTGCCCTAATCACCTGAGGTTTCGCACGTTTCATTACCTTTGCTTCAGTCTCGATTTTTTATCCTCACATTTTCTTATGCAGTGTACTTTTCTACCGATTGTGATATGTCTAGTAAGGTCAGTTAATTGACTAATCACTTTTTTATGAACGCTGACACCAAAAATCTCTTCACTAAAGCACACCAGGCCGGTACATTTGATAACATTCGCACAACGAATTGTTTTCAGGCCCTTGGGTTTTTCAAGAGAGAATGTGTGGTCCCGACCTCCTTTGTCTGTTAATGTGAGGAGATGGTGCTTATTAAAGCTCTGAAGTCATTCCGCAGTCTTGAATGACAGCATGAGGTGGTCAAAGTAAGGAAAAAATTTATCGCTACATCGAAACTAGACTGTTCACAGACTTCAGAGATCGTCGAGCGCGTATGAAATAATAACTGCGTGTTATTCAGGCGTGCTTGTCGATTTTCGGGAAGGCACAAGAAGAAGCATCATTAGGAATAACCCTTAAGCGTACAACGCTGTTCCAATGCGTTTTCTTTCTTTCTTTTTTTTTTTTCTGAGAACCAATCACAATTTACTTCGTAACTAATATGGAATCAATGATACGGGAGACTGTCGCGCTTCTTATGTTATGAAAACTTTGTCTCAAGATGTAAACAAAGCGCTACAAAGGGCAATAACAGTTTTATGAAGTAAAATTTGACGAAAATCGGAATTCAAAATGGCCAGGGTAACCAGACAAGACAAAGACGACCAATAATAGTAAGCATCTACGGGCCAGGCACTTGGTGACGAAAGCTTGCGCGCGTTTTTGAAAGAGTACTGATTGTGTCAACATTACGCGACCTTATTTTTTCACCCGATAGTTTTCAAAGGTTGCTTTGAATAACATATATAGTATATTTTTGCAAAGGTCTTGGAGACGGAAAACTACTTATCGATTTTTTTAAGGAAAGTTTTCGGAAAAAAAAGTTATTAGTGCATGCCATAGTGCAGCTTATTAGCGCGCACAAATGACAACATACTTGTCGGCTCCGCTACCTGTAAATGTAAATGTTTTTGTCCGTTGATATTGTTCTGTAAAAAAAGTTAAACCGCGGAGTGTGTAACTATTGAGTTATGAATGTACTAAGAGAACTGTTTATGGACTTCAAAAATTCTTTATCAGCTACTTTTCAGAGAGGGATGCCTTCAATTCTCTGATTCCATATTTAGGGCAAAAAAAAAAAATCGCCAGCTTCTGATTGGACGGCTAAACAACCCCAGCATGTTTCTAAACAAATGAAAGGAATTTGGACGCTTCAGGGTTCTTCAGGGTTAAATATATGAGTATATGATTCTGGTACAGGCTACAGTCAAAAGATTGATGCTTCCGATCAAGAAACGGTCTAAATGTTATAACCACACTTAGGAAACGGGTAATCCTGTGTAGTAAAATTGCTTGTTACTTCAAAAATCCACGTCTTAA